TTTTTCTCACATATGATGGAGAAAAAAAGAGAATTATATATTTTGTCATTATTTTTCTCTCTTATTTGTACTTATATATTTCAGAAATTTTGATATCAATTAGTTGTCAACTGTCAGTGATTCTAATAATCGTGACAACTTTATGTGCAATGGAATTACAAGGAGTTATAAGAGTGTTTAACTAAACTTGTTTCTAAATGCAAGAGCCATGGATATTTTTATTCTAAATGTAAAAGACATTTTAAAATTAATGCTAACATTTTATCCTAATAATGTCAGAACATTTGATCAGTTTTCATGAAATAAAACATTAAGCTCAAAGTGAAATTCCCCTTTTACCATTCCTTGAACTTATTTCTCCCCCACCACAAGCCACTACCATAATAAAAGTTCTATCTTTCCAAATCACATGTTTATTCTTTCTTTCTCCTTATGTGTGTATGTTTATATATGATATTGTCAATGGTTTCAAAAAAAAACTTTCACATAATTGGGATTTTGCAGTATAAATCTCTTGTGCCACTTGAATTAATTTACTCTATATTTTTTTGAGAACACCGTATGGATCTGTCTAATTTCTTTTAATTGCCAAATGGTATTTACATGTACATTTCCAGGTATTGACTATGGTTTGCCCAAGTGTTTCTCTAATTTATTTTCCTACCTACAATATCTGAGAGGAATTTTTCTGTCTCGTCCCTAACACTTAGTGCTATCAGACTTTCGAACTGTTTGACAGAGGAGTGGAGAGGAGGCTTGTGTTTCATTTGTATTACTCCAATTCTCTTAGTGTATTCAGTGTCCACACATGCATACATTGCAAGAGGCCTGGGTTCAATCCCTAATACTAGGGGGAAAAAAGTTTTGTCACAAAAATTAACTACAAATCAGTTAGAATATTGCCTGGTACAAACAGAGAACTTTACAAGTGTTGGCTCTTAGGATTTTGCTTGTAATGTGATTTTGCTTATATTGTCTGTAAAGCCCTTCCTAGCATCTCTGATGTCTCTGTATGTTTAAAGGTTACATGCTCTTGTATGGTACTCACTAGAAATCTGTGTTGTCCTCACAGTCATTGGGTACTAGAGCTCATAAGTAGATAGGTTTGTTTAAGTGCCTATGGACTGATCTAAACCACATCTATATTTTTCTTATATTTTATTTTTTCGAGACAATTTTTGTTTCAAGTAATAGCATTTTAGCAATAAAAGCAAACGTTATTCCCTGAAGGGAAACATGCATGTAAGCTACAAACAGTTTCAAAACTGTGTCTTCTATTAAACTGAACTGTTTAACTGAAAGAAGTCTATCACAAGCAATTCCTAACTCATGATGTGAGAGTGTCTGAGACACAGTCATGATGCAAGTTTATTAAATGAATAAATAGTTTGTTTGCTTTTTAAAAGACATCCACCTTAGAACCATTTTTAAGAGAAGGAATCAAGGGAGTAAAATATGCAATTACATTGAATCCCCTAGCACAGAGAATAAAGTGTGCAGTTAAAGGAAATAAAATCCAAGCCAGCTTTCTCTCGGGATTTCTATTCTCTGTGATCAGTCATACTTTTAATGCATGTTAACTGTGCGAAAGGAATCAGGGAAACCATTGAAGTGATTAATGCCTTTGTCTGCCCAAAAGGAAGGTGCCTCTGCTTTAAGAGCCTAGTTTTATATTCACTGTGGATGGTACTTTTTCAATTGCAGTAAGGAAAATGTTTTTTCTTCTTTCTGTTGCATCATAAAATCGAAACACTTTTGAAGGAGATGGACAGAAAAATAAATGTTATGTAGTAGCATGATGTGGAGCCCTGCACATAAAATCACCATGAAGATGGACGAAAAATCCCAAAGGATGACTCAGAGCTGTGGCAGCACCTTGTCTGTGCTGGGGTTGCCCAGACACTTGATCCTGCTTTCTACTGTGGAAACAGAAGTTTCCCCAAAAGAAGAAGAAGAAGAAGAAGGAGGAGGAGGAGGAGGAGGAGGAGGAGGAGGAGGAGGAGGAGGAGAAGAAGAAGAAAGGAAGGAAGGAAGGAAGGAAGGAAGGGAGGGGAGGAGGGGGAGGAGGGAAGGAAGGAGGGGGAGGAGGGAAGGAAGGAGGAAAAAGAAAAGACTTATGAATACAAATCATGGCACAGAAAATTTCTGTTTTGGTCAGTGTGAAATCTCTTCTATAAAATCAAACAATCCTTCAGCTTTTAACTTTTAACACATCAATGGTCTATTTCTTGCTCATGCTCTGTGTTCTCTGTGGGTTGGAGGAAGTCTCTATGCCACATGCTGACTCAGGGACCCATCCTGGGCCTCAAAGGACAGACAGCTGGAAGACCTCATGCCTTCCCTCTGTGCTTGGGCAGGAAGTGAGCCCTGTCACTTCCTGCCATAGGCTCTCACATGACCTCATCTTCATGCAAGGGGAGGGCAGTGTGGCCCCCAGGGTGGCTGGAAGGAAAGGACAACTGGACTTTGCTGAGCCCCGAAGCAGCCTCTGTTGAATCAGTCATGGGTGCTGCTGTAAATAGCTGGGTGCTTAAGTGTTTCCCTCCATGATTTTGGACCATGAATGAGGAGTTAGTTTTGGAGCTAGTTGGACAGGTTCATTCAAATCCCTGCTGAATTCTTCATGAGCTGTGCAGTCAAGTTACTTAACATCACTGAGCCTTATCTCTAAGGAGGGTTATGGTGATGCAAAATGTCAGGGCTTTGGTATACAGTAAGCACTTAGCAGTAAATAGCTGTGGTGATAAAGGCATGTACTAGTATAGAGAGGGTAGTAAATCCTGGAGGATATGAGAACATTTTTTATTGTATCAGAAAAATATTTTATCAGTTTCCAGGGGCTGCCTTAACAAATTACCATAATTGGGTGCTTAAAATTTTATTTTCTCACAATTTAAGAGGCCGAGAGTTCAAACTTAGGTCATCAGCAGGGCCCTGTTCCTACAAATGCACAAGGGAAGGTGCCGTGGGTACCCTTCCAGGTTCTGAATTCTTCAACCAATCCTCAGCTTGAGGCCGGATGGCTGCACTCTCTGCCTCCCTTTTTACTTGGCCTTCTCCTCTGGTCTTCTCTCTTGTGTGAGAACATTTGTTAATAGATTCAGAGTCCTCCTAGGTAATCTAGAATGACCTCATCTGAAGATCATCAACTTATTGCATTTCAAAATCTCTTTTTCCAAGTAAGTTACCATCAATTAGTTTCAAGGTTTCTGTGTACACTTATGTTTAGAAGAGAGAAGACCACCATACATCCTTACTACAAGATGAGGGAAAATTCCAACCCCATGTAAACACATGGCATATACATGCTTAGAATGGGATCAGCCTTAAAATATGGAATAAAGTAGTGGAACAGCTTTAAATTCATAGTGCATCCTTAATAGAAACAGTATCTACTGTTTTTCAAAGATAATAGAGCATGAGGGTCATCACAGTACAGATTCTCAGCCCCACCTGAAGATTTTCTGATTCTGTGGGTTTCTGGTGAGGCCTAAAATACATGTATTTCAGAAGAGCCACAAATGATTCTGACACAAGTAAGCATTTGGATATACTCAGAATTAATATGCCTCCTGCAAATGACCATTAAGATTGATATTGACATTTACATCATTTAAAAATTATGGTTAATCAGCGTCTTACAGTATGGAAATAGCCAGGATTTTGGTTTAGATTTATTGTGGTGATTCTTGGATTTTGAGATGAGATTGCTTAATGTTAAATGTCACTTACTAAGAGAATCTGCTTTAATTTTTTTTTAATATTGATTTTAGGATTTTATTTCTATTTTAAGGGTTTGACTGTAGTTTGATGTTGCTTTTATATAATATTTTATCTTTTCAGTGCAAGAAAGAGTTTCATGGGACTGAATTTACCAATTTATCATTTCATATAGCAATTCTGTGGATAGCTCTTATTGTAAAACCATTTTTTTAGTTTGCTAATGTGGGTTGATGCAGGAGCAAGACACACTATAAAAGTCATATGTTTCTTAAGGGACTATTCTTGTATTCATTTGCGTCAATCATGGCTTTTCTGAACATTGATTTATACCAGAAATCTCTTTTTCTCCTGTCAATGTATTCAGAAGCCACCTCTAAGGTACAGATTAAAGACCTAAACTCCACTTGCTGTTAAGGAACTGATGAGCTATTCACAGAAGCTGCCAAATCAGAGGAAAAAATCTAGTGAAATGAGGGTAGAAAAATCATTCTCCAAATGATATCTGTCAGTAATTGACATTAACTTTTTTTCCAATTATTGACATAAAAAGTGGGCAGGTAGGAAAAGTCCACACATACAATGAAAGTTGTTCACATTTAGAAGCTTTAAATTTATCCATCTATTTTGTATTTAATAAATTATTCAAAATAAATCTGTTGCCACTGTGTACAATATGATTGGCATTGCATATATATGAACAACATTTTATGCTGGATTATTTTATAGATATATCATCAAGTGAGAAAGCCAGAAATGTATATTCAATTGGTAGAAAAGTGTTATTAATTTTAAATGACAATTTAAACTATAGTAATCAACTGAAAGGAAGTGTTCATAGGGAATGTCGAAGTAAAGGAAAAGAATTATTTTATCTTCTTTGTAATAAAAAGAGAGATAGTTATTTCTTCATTGGGCTACTTTACAAAGTCTATATATAACCTTATTCAGACTTGTAGTTTAAAATAACTAAAATTATGTGAGACTGCATGTATACAGAAGCTGTATTGTAAGGAACAAGTTTAATGGATTGAGATTTGTTAAAAAAAATTAAAATGAGCTGTCCTTGTGGAAATTTCTGAACAATGTCCATTTACAACATGGTAGTACCTGTGAATCAAAAGCAATATATGGCAAATGGACCAATTATGCCACTTTTCTCAGCAAGGAATTAAAGGCAGTGTCATGGAGTCAGTGTACTGCTAAGCCTTTGTGACTTGCAGTTTGGGACGTTTCTTTTCTAATCAGCGCATTATACCTGTGTGTTCTCTTTTTTGCAGTTCAGCAGAAGAGCAGTTTCATTGGCAGCCACAAGGTAAAGTATGGGCTCATGGTGGGTCCTTATGCTTACTTCCACATACAGTAAATGAGAAAACGTGACAGTGACAATTACAGTGACACTGTTGTGATAAACAAGTGGGGAGCGAAGTTCTCATTCTCTGATGCCTTCATGTTCTCCAGGGATAGGTGGAATTGGCTGGCCTTGACATTAGCCCTGGCTGTCAATTACAAGTTTATCCAATGAGAACTTCATGGAGATGATGGATTTCCCGGGAAATTTTTTGATTATTTAGTTGTAATCTCAAGCTTTTAGTGTTAATATATCACTTACTGATTCATCCTCTTCAAATATCTTATTTCAGATGGTCAAAAAGATATCGAAGATGAACTTACAACAGGTCTTGAGCTGGTGGACTCCTGCATCCGATCACTGCAGGAGTCAGGAATCCTTGACCCACAGGACTATTCCACCAGCGAAAGTAAGTCAGATGGCAGTTACAGTGGAAGACCTTCAGGACACAGCATATTGTGCCATAGTTTTTTCTGATATAATAACTATTATGCACCATATATGATAGGGCTTCTAGATATTTCTATACTTGTGTTATCCATTGCCTTCCACTCTCAACTACCTGCCCACATTATCCTATCCTGACTCCCATTAAATTAAAAAGCTCTCTTAACTCAGTCATTGACATCTAGATTTTTTCACCAGATTTTCAACATTAAGAGTAGCATATTTAATGAACTCACATGCTTGTTTAACCAACAAAATGTCTAACTTGAAATTAACAATCATACATGCTTTATTCATACAAATCATTTGTGGTAGAGATCTTTAAAATCTGCAATTATGTAACAAAATAGATATCAATTTGGTATAATGTATAGTGTTAACTAGTATTAATAATAATAATGTAATACTCAATAACTTCTTATATTCCTACACTTAATCTTGCATTACTATATTAATTTCAGTAGAATATTGAAATATTTTTTTCTTTTCATTTAATATATTTAACCAGAGAAATTGAAACAGATATAAAAATGTGAGGAATTGAAATAAGTCATTTTTTTAATAAAATGTAAAATTCTCTGGACTTATTTTAATAAAATTCTACAAAAGACTAAAAAGGAAATAATTTAACTATATCATGTTCTCATAATTCTGGTATCAAAAATAAATGAAGCAATCAATTCCTTAACTTTTAAAAAAATAAAATTGCCTCTAATATACTTCAAGATTTGTCTTATAAAAAGAAAACATAAGAATAAGATAGCATAGTTACCTTATAAACCATTTAATTTATATACTATATCATCTTCTCTGTAATTTTTATAACACCATTATTCTTTGGATAATTATCCTGTAAATATCCAGATTGATTTTTAAACCCATATCCATCCCCTTAATAGAACTCCTAAAGTAAGATGAATGATTGTTATTTTACTTATTCTCTGTATTTTATATTTAAATGTAGAATTATTACTTTTTCCCCAGAGTCACAAATATGTTTATGTTATAGGAGTAGCTGTATTTAAAATGCATTTAATTAATATTTGAACCACATGCACTCACCTTCCTAGAAAATAGGAAAGGTAGACATAGAATAGTAGGTCTTGCAGTGAAGGAGGCAAGATGGTGTATATCATTCTTCATTAATATTAGAAGATTGTTCTTCATATAAGAATAGATCATTCTTCATATAATAATGTAATCCTTTATTAAAGTTTAAACCTCCTTCTAAACTCAAAATTTAGTTTAGAGTTAAAAATTTCTAATTTTTGAGTTTAGAAGGAGGGATAACCCTTAATAAATAGAAAGCACAGAAAAAAGATAAAATAAGAGGGAGACATTAAAATGGAAGTGATAAGTATATCAACTTAGTTATGTGTAAGTGCATTGAATTCACTAATAAGGATTATAATTCAAATTTGAAGTTAACAAAGATAACATACTTATGTGACATTTATAAGAAACACTTTTGGTGAAATTATTGTTAAAATTAAAGGACTAGACAAAATAGTGCCAGCAAATGCAATGAATGCAAAAAGTGGAATTGGAAGAATATTGTGAGGTCAAATGGAATATATCATGGAGCACTGATCAGAGTCAGAGAGGAGCTAGGTAGTGAAACTGTCTTACCTCTAAGGATATGCTAGAACAAAGGAGCGTAAATGCACTGAACAATATAGAACCTGAGTTCTAATATTAAAGCTAAAGAGGCTGATGGAAAATATTGCTGTAGACACTTCAATGCTCATTCAGAAAGAATGCTACAAGAAAAAGCCACAGAAAGTCGGAAATTAAAACTAACAAATCAGTGTATTAAATAAATTTTCAAATTTTAGTCATTGAATGATACTAATTTGTTTGTATATGCCCAGGGAATATTGACAAAAAAGTGATCAGATCCTGGAAGATAAAGACAATTACATAGAAAGGCTATATTACTTGATAATAATGCACGAGAATTAAAAGTGAATAAAAAGGGGCTGGGGATATAGCCCAGTTGGTAGAATGTTTGCCTCGCATGCATAAAACCCTGGGTTTGATCCCCAGCACCACACACACACACAGAGAGAGACAACAACAACAACAAACAAACAAAAAACCAAATTGAATAATAAAATAATAAGCAAAAAATAAGTAAAAAACAGAAAACATACTTCTGGATATCTACTGAATTATAAGCAAAAAAGAAATTGCATACAATTTAGAATGCAAATAAAAAGGAACATTTTATAATAAAAACTGAATCCAGATGAAATCTAAATTTTGTTATTTAAAAAGTAAGACAAAATTTAAAGGAATGTTGTGCTTATTTTGGGAAATCTTATAAAGAGCCAAATAAAGTTTTAAAAATCAACAAAATGAAATGATAAAAGTAAATTCAGCTGGGTGCAGAGGCACATGCCTGTAATCCCAGCTGCTCAGGAGGCTGAGACAGGAGGATAACAAGTTCAAAACCAGTCTCAGCAAAAAGTTAGGTGCTAAGCAACTCAGTAAGACCCTGTCTCTAAATAAAATACAAAATAAGACTGGGGATGTGGCTCAGTGGTCCAGTGCCCCTGAGTTTAAACCACCCCCCTCCAAAAAAAAAAAAAAGTAAATTCAAAGACAAGGTAATGCAAAATAAAATAGAAGAGATAAATAAATGGCATAGAAAAATAAATAAACAGAATGGGTAAATATATGAATTTTTTAATTAAATGCCAGAAGATAATACCAAGCTTTCCTAGGTGAGAAGCTCTGCTACACCTGAGGAAAATGGAGAGGATTTAGCTTTCACTTTAGTTTTCCTGTAATATAAATTCAGAAGTCACCTACAGTGCTGGGCTGTGGTTCAGTGATGAAGGCTTAGAGGTTTGGGGCCCTGGCTGAGTCCCCAGTCCTGTCATACCAACTAACAAAAGTCACCTCAAATGACGTATCTTCATCACAGGGAAGCTAAATGCTTTGGTAGAGCTTTTTCCAAATATATGTGGTAACTGTTGAATTTTTGTTTTTCAGAAAGATTATTTTCTTTGTATTATTGTATACAGAATTACTTGAAGACTGATATAGGATTTTAGTTCATTATTCTTTTTTTATAAGTTCTTGCATCCAGGTTGAAAGAAAGGAAAAGAAACCAAACGAAACATATAAACCAAAGAAATTGCCACGTAATGAAAGCCCTACCCCAAAACCCTGCAATGGGGCTTGGAACCACAGTGAAATAGAGAATATGGTTATCCTTCAGAAACATTCTCAACTTTTTCAGTCACTTTCAGACTGAAGTAGCTGAGTAACATTTAGAGAAATAATTTGAAAATATTGGGTAGATAGCATCATTTTGGAGATCAATATTGCCAATTTTAAGTGTTCATAAGGCTATAAAATAAAAATCTCAATTGCTCTGTGTTTCAGTTAGAGTCCAGATGGGATATAGAGAGTCTACACACAAAAAAAAACTTAACTGAAGAGAACTGAATTAAGGAACTCTTTGCACAGGAATGGGCGAGATTAAGGGAACGCAGTGAATGTTGAGATTCACGGGGTATAGCAATGACCAAAAAAATAAAAGCCCTCACCACCCTCACACATGGAGGGACCACTGGTGCCCGCAGAGTTGAGAAGAATGGAGGCTGCAGGAGAAGGACTTTCCTAACTTCCTCCTCTCCTGGCCCCTAGTTTCCTTTCTGGGCCTCCTATTGGCCAAACCCAAGCAGCAGAGGCCAGAGAGCAGGGCATTGTTGCTGAGAGGATGGCCAGACAGTGAAGTGCCAAGTGAGGGGATTAATCAGCATGAATCTCTGCTAAATAGTAGAAGCATGCACCATGTGTGTCCTTGTCTGGAGGCATAGCAAGTAGATATGCAGGGGCTCCTTGACACTCTCCAACTAATTAGAGAAAGCGCATCAGATGCTGCTGGTCCCTTGTGATTATTCAATCAGTGGCTTCATTAAGCTGGAACAGTCATGAACTAGCTAATGCTAAATCGGGCCTGGCACCCTGCCCTTGAGAACCAGTCCCTTAATCCTAACTCAGAAGGGACTCAAACAATGCTAAATACGTCTAAATCAAGCCCGAAAAGAAAATACTAAAAGGGAAAGCAATCTCAATCCCTAGGCACATCGTACTTAATTTGTTGTATTTAAAGCTTTTACAATTCTTCTTTCTGAGGTCCGGTTAAAATAAATTTTGAAGCATAGTAACCCTGTCTTCTTGACCCTGAGGCAAGTGCTCTGCCATCCTGACTTTATGAGGTCGTACACCTATAAAGGTTTTGCTGTACTTTAGTGTTTTTTAAAAATGCCATCTTAACAGAATGTAAATCGTGTATACAGCCTTTGGCTTCCAACACTTTTTCATGACTGCCGGCTGCGTAATTTCAATTCTAACAAATATGTGTCACTGAGTCACTAGGAGAATGTTTTCAGAAATTGCAGTTGTTTTACTGAAACAAAACAAAGCCCACACATCGGCAACAAAGACAATTTACTGGCAGAACTTGCACCCATCAGCTTCTCACATAATGCATAGGTTGGCCTCACCTGACACGGACCAAATAATTTATTTAAATTCAGAGATAAGCATGATTGCATTTTGACCAATAATTAACACATTATTATCATCAGTCAAAAATCAGAAATACAGAAAAATCAGAAATATGAAGAACAGCTTGGGGAAAAGGACTTACATATTTAGCCAGAAATGTGTTTAATATTATATTTCAAATGCTAATTATTTCTGTCTATGGCATATTAATAAATTGAAATTATACCATATTTTAGATAATTTTATTATTCAACAGGAAGAAAATCTTGGAAGCTGATATGTTCTAAACATTATGATAAAAACCTACATTGTTTTGATTTTTAAACCAGCATTTATTTTTAAATCAGGAATCAATTATATAGGTTACCATTTGAGCAGGTGGAATCCAAATAGAATAATCATATGTAATTTGGTGGAAGCAAATATATCATTCACTGT